AGAAAATTACAAATTTAACCAAAAATGTTAATTATTTTGTGGAAAATAGCAAAAAAAAAAAAAACTAAAATTAAATTTTTAGCCCTCAATTTTACAGATGGACTACCTATGTTCGAAGATGGACTAGTTCATCTGCGATCGTACAAGCCACTAAAGCTAACCTGTGCTTCAACGACTTGTTCGTTAGCACATGGACTAGTCCATCTATGAAAATAAACCTAGACTACTACAAAAACCTAATTTTTTTGGTTCATTTTTTACTCTTTGTTGTTGAAAAACTCTCTCTGGAAAGTGATTTTCTTACCTCATTTGTGATTATGAACGATTTCATGAACAATCCCGATAATATGCTAACAACTAAAATGATAATTTTTTTAGAGAGGTTTTAAACAAATTTTCCAAAGAAATAACAACTAAATTAATAATTTTTTGTAAAAGTTTATATATAACAAGATTGTTTCGTAGTTAAACACTATCAATTTCGTAGTAAAAAAAATACAAAAAAAAAAAAAAAAAAAACACACAATATCGCAATTGAAAAGGAGAAGAAATTGCATATGACTTTAGTCCATCTACGATTTTAAGGGGGAAATGAGGTTTTTATACAACGAAAAAAAAAGCTATCTGCGAACGTAGAAGTGGCTAAAGCACATATGTGCTTTAACCACTTGTACGTTCGCTGATAACTTGCCAAAATCGTAGAGTTTAATCCATCTGTGATTTTGATGGCTAAAAATGCATTTTAGATTTTTTTTTGACTATTTTCTAGAAAGTAATTAATATTTTTGGTTAAATATACAATTTTCTCTTAATTTTATATCTCTTTAATTAACTTGTCATATTTTATTGTTTTAAATAAAATATACAGAAATCAATTAGTTTTATATTAAATAAGTAAAAATTATCACCGAAAAGGCGAAAATATATGTTTATTGATGTGATAAAATGATGAAGTTTCCAAATATGAAACGAAGAAAAGTTGGTGAACAGCCGTTTTGGCCGCATCCGGGAAGTACATGTTATTCGTTGACTGGGCTTAACACGTAACCGAGTCAGTTTAACATGGCGACATGTCCCACTAAAGTTTCTAACACGGCCGTCCACTTTTAAATTATTTTATTTACTCGGTTTTAGTTTTGATATTTTAAGATTTAAAATATAGATAATTTTTCTTGCTGGAACTTTACATATACTTTTTAGGTTGCATCTTGATGGACTTGTGTTTGGGTTTGTGGATGTTTGTAGGAGCCCTAAAAGCCTCCAAAGCGGCCCTTCCAAAGTTATTTAAAAGTCTACATATTACACATTTGCATTTGCAAACCTATTTAAAGGATAACATTTCCATACCACTTAAGAATTAAAGATTATACTTGAAAGACTTGTAAACATAATAATTAATTGTTTTTTTTAATAATTAATTATTTTTTTACTTTTAATTTTATTTTATTATTTAATTTACTTAATATATATCTTTTATATAAACTAGCGGAAAAACCCGGGCTTTGCCCCGGATCATTTTTTGTTCTTATATGAAAAAATATATAAGTTTGACTGCAAAGACCAAAAGTGTCAAAATGATTAAAGAATTAAATGGATTGGAATTAACAAGTTTTTCGAAAATGAACCAAAGTTGTCGATTCCTTAAAGTTTTGTGGCCAAACTTTGAATATTAAAAGGTTTTTAAAAAATATAAAATTTTTTATTGTAAGAACCAAAAATATCAAAATGACTAAAAAATAATTTGAGACAATTCTAATTTTCTGAGACCGTAAGATTAAATCTAAAAATAATTTTAAAATGCAAAATAAATGTAAAAATCCAAAAATTCTTTTTTTAAATATTATTTTCGGAACTTGAATTAACTAAAAAAATAATAAAACTAAATAAAAATAATTAAATAAAAATCCCGTTTTTTTTTTTTTTTAAAATACGTGAAATATTCTTAATAGAATATTACACTGTACATATTCTAAAAAATAATTTTAAAATGCAAAATGAATGGAAAATCCAAAAGTTGTTTTTTTAAATATTCTTTTCGGAACTTGAATTACGTAAAAAAAATGCGTTTTACAATTTCACAAAATTAAGACGTCTAATATATATATATATATATATATATATATATATATATATATATATATATATATATATATATATATATATATATATATATATATATATATATCAAATTGTATTATATTGATTATAACCGAGTAAGATAAAGTACTTTTTTGGTGTTTCCTCTCTCTCTCTCTCTCTCTCTCTCTCTCTCTCTCTCTCTCTCTCTCTCTCTCTCTCTCTCTCTCTCTCTCTCTCTCTCTCTCTCTCTTAATGTTTAGTTAAATTAAAAGTTTAGTATTATTGAATAATAACTTAATCAATAAATAAAAACTTATTAAAAAATAGTTATTGATGTCGCAATGAGATCATTTTAAAAAAAGGATTGATATTGAGTTGATGTAAACACAACTAAAAGATAAAAAGATTACATAACATGGTATTGTTGTTTACGTTAAAGATCACCTTGAGTTTTAAAAGGGTTAAATTTTAAAATAACAAATAACTTTATGAGTCGTTTATTATAATATTTTATTTATAAATTAAAGATTATATATTTTCAAAACGTTACTTATTGCATATGGTTTTCTTTATTACAATTTAAGATTTAAATTTTTTTTTTTTTTTTTTTTTTATAAAAAGACCAACATTGTATAGATTATTAATATGATACGGCATTCCATATTAATCGTATATTTACATGCCATGGCATAAATTGAAGTTTCAAACTAGGAATACATTGTGAGCTCACCTTAACTAAATCATAAGAACTATCCCAATAAGGCGTTTTGTTTAGTTAGAAAAACATAGAACGACAGTAGCAGGACGAAAGGAAATGTCACCTCCTGTGAGGGTTCTACATGGAGGATAATTCACATGCTCATTATCTTCAACGGTGAAGTCTTTGTTGTCTGTTCGAGATGCGAACTCTAACTTCACTCGAAAAATAGTAAGGCGGATGGTGTAACATCCCAAAAATCCCAAGAAAAGTTTTCATTTTTTAGTCCAAACCATTAATTCATTATTCCAAAAGATTATCAAAGTAAAAGTATTCTCAAAACATCAAAGTAAAATCATAAACAATCATTACAGAATGATCTTCAGGAGATGCAGTGCGATTACGCTAGACCATTCCTTTTAAAACAAGAATGACCCAAAATTATAAACATAAACTGTAAGCATAAAACTTAATGAGTTCTCCAAAGTACCACATACAAACATACAACTATGGGCCCTGCCATGGGGTACTACAAAAAAACTTATATGACCCGGTTATTTCATTTAAATAACCCAGTTTAGAATCGGGTCCTAAAGCCAGCGAGACCTATGTGAAAAAGGGAATAGAACCCGATTTTAAAGCCGACTCTTATCTAACACAAAAAAACCCGATTATTCATAAAACTGGGACATATAAGAGGAACATAATGCCTAATACTTATCATATATGCAGATTATGACGCGGTCCAACCATACAAAACCGGGTCATATATGGCTAAAAGAGCATGGTTCCAATCCCCAAACTAGGTCATATAAAGATTAAATATGGACCGGTTCCATTCAAATAACCGGGTCTTTTCAGCCTTCCAAAAACCAACTATCATTACAAAAGTATGGTTATAAGAATTAAATTGGTGACAACTTTATTCAAATAACCATAATATAAAGAAAACAATGGATACAAAACACAAACTGATACTTGCATCCAAAGCAAACATTCAAAACAAAACAAAAATTATGCATTGATGAACAAATTATATTAATATAAACATGTTAAATAACCAATCATTATAGTCATCGATAAAAACATGCTTAAGTGCTGCTAAAAACTCCTTGATTTGGTCATTTCCTACTACATAAAACTTACATAAATAAATTCAAAAATAAAATTGTTTTCCCAGGTGTATACTCAAGTGTTGCAGCTATCCTCCAACCTCACTTACAAACAAAACACAAGAGCTATCCTTCATCCCCATTGAAAAAACAAAACACAACAAATAATTAGTTTTTTGTCTAGCATTTTAAAAGAGTTGAATTTAGCAAACAATCATTAAACTAAAAGTAGGATGTTATAAAGATTAAAAACTAACATTATATGCACTTTTAGACAACCACATCATTCATAAATTTTTTCAGAAATTCTCTGGCCCATGTAGCAACAGTTGTAACCAACGCCTTTTCGTCAAATACAGTTTTGTCATTTCAAAGGGTACCAAACTATATGAAAATAAAATTAAAACTACTAAATAACGTAACAATTTGTTTCTTGCTGTAGAAGAAAAGATTTTTTTAAGAAGTACTTACTCTACACGGAAATCCATGTTGTATGTTCAACACAAAATCAAAGATCCAATTCATTACATAATGCCCACTCACCTCACGTTCCAATACACCAACTTGGTTGCACTAAAATTGTGATAGAAGGTAAACATAAATCACAAACGAAACCATATCTAACTAGTGGATAAGTAATAAGATAAATTACCTCGGTGAGCTTCCATACAATTGGAATTGATGTGTTCTTTTCATACCTCTCAAAAACCCTAAAAATAAACAAGAAGCAGAGTTGTATTCAAACTTATAGAAAGAGTGTTATTTTCATGTCATATTAAGAAATTTCTTACTTTTCCAAAAGTTTGAGCAGGTAGTAGTTGTCAACCGTATTTTTCATAGGCTTCATCAGAGAATCCAAAATGTATACAATATGATTTGAAGGGCAAATCACCAAGAGGACCCAATGCGTACTAGTAATGTTTTGAAATTTTAGTATAAAAACACACAAAAAAAAACAAATAGCTATTAATATAGATAGCAACGTATGACTTTTTGCAGGTATGGTATGATAAGAAACGATTTTCCTTGATGAAGTTGCATCGCATCAATGAGATAATTGACGACATCAATCCGAGTTTCCTGACAGGCTTTCCCAAGAATCTTATACGGGTTTAGGGAAGCACGCCCATACGTTTCTGAAGCATTAAGTGTAGAAGGCTACAAACAATATTACAAAAAATTTACAATCAAGTCATATCTTATAAGCAGCCTAAAAAAATATCATGGAAACAAATAATAGTAAAATTTGAATGCACTTACATATGCCAAGTTGTTATGATGGACAACTCAGTTGTTTGTTTTTTCAACAAACGATAATAATCTTCATATGTAACTGAAAAATCAAACGCCCCAACTTCTAGATGTCCAGCATCAGCTACCACATGAACCACTAGGTTGGTCTTCAAAAGGTCACGAAGTGATTCTATTTGCCTTGGTTTGTTGATCTTTTGGTTAGGCATGTTTTTTCGATAACAACCTTTACAGTTGATGGTCACGCACTTGTGGTTTGAATTTGTTGTTATGATGGCACCTTGCTTTGTTGTTCCTATTAATAACTCATTGTAATTAGTGAGGATGTCATATATGTCATTCTTAAACATCAAAATATTTTATTTTTCGGCCTAACTATAATATTTTGATGTTTAATAGGAGCATATAGGGATTTCTCTCATTTTCAGAAAATGTATATATGGTAAATAAAAAATTAAAGGATAATGAAGATAAACCTTACTAAGAACAATTACAATCCATGACCATTAAATTATAGTGCCAACTGCATCTTCTAGGATACCAACTTCATTTTTCATCACAGGAACATGAATGCCTTTATATTTTTCATATATGTTGTCTATCATAACCTTCAACTGATTTTCGCGTAAAGGAAGTGAGTGAATTAACCCATCATTATTTTGGTTCATATCACCATAAGGTAACACCAAATCACAATGAGTAATAGCCTACAATCATATAACATGTAGTGTATTTCATGTGTCAACATGTTAGAAAATTTGATATATAACATAATTTGACATCAAAGTTCAAAGTAAAATGATATCAAGAAATTCAAAAAACATAAACCGAACACATTAAAACAGAAAAATATGCTAAATACAAAAGTTTGGAACTATTTTAGTATATGTTCTATCACACATGGACCATTATTGTACATTTGTATAACATAGTGATCAATTTTGCATTTCTATACACTTTTGGTTCATATCACCATAAGATAACACCAAATCACAATGAGTAATAGTCTGCAATCATATAGTATGTAGCGTATTTCATGTGTCAATAAGTTAAAAAATTCGATGTAAAACATAATTTGACAGCAAAGTTGAAAGTAATATGATATCAAGAAATTCAAAAAACATAAACCTAAGACATTAAAACAAAAAAAATGCTAAATTTTGCATTTTTATACATTAAAGGTACCTTTTTTGTAATTTATTCTGCATAGTGCCTTCTTTTGTAAATTCAGGGATTCGTAATTGTTTCTTACAAGGACCATTTCTATAAAAAAACTTACAAGGACCTTTTCTGTAAAAAAACTTACAGGGACTATTTCTGTAGAAAAAAATTGCAGGGACCATTTCTGTAATTTTTGTAACATAAGGACCATTCTATAATTTTTACACAAGTTCTATTTATCTAGTTTTATTGTTTGATATGTACAGCAGATACATAACACATATAGGGGGATATTTTATAGTTTTTTTGAAACACTTGGACATTATAGAAGACTATGATTAGTCATCAACTCTAAGGTGCTGTTTGTTTTTTCGAAGCGAAAATATCTTAAGTCTGCGGACCACCTATGCAATCCTCTGTAGTAGAAGAGGTGGAACAAAAGGTTGCAACATTTAATAAAAAGTCTGTTTGTTTTTAACGTCTGCAGACTGCTGCAGTAAGTTAAAGTAAGGCACGAAGAGGTTTGAAGCAATTGGTTTAGTGTTGCGCCACGCAGCACACGCGCAACAGTTTTTAAGTTAGAAGTTTTCAGGAAAACAAACAGCTGCGAAAGGCCAAGTGTTGCACGTGTGCTGCGCGGCGCAGCAATAAGTGGTCTGAAGTGTTTTTTTTTAAAAACAAACAACACCTAACTCATTTATGTATCTATTTTCATACTTTGTTTTGCCCAAAACAAGAAACAAGTGAATTTATTACTATTTTCCCAACTTGTACCACATAATTATAATAAATTTATGTAATCAACTAGAATTAGTGATAAAAATAAATAAACTGACTCATTGATTTGTGGATTTTATTAGTTGTTAAAGGTTTATGCTATAATAAAGAATTACCTTTATCGTATCTAAAGCATCCAATGTCGACATCGAACCAGGCCTATTCTTTTGAACACCGAAGCATACATTATTCGGGACTTGGTTCCTAGACTCTTGCATCACAGACAATGTTCTTAACTCTGCCAATTGGGTCACAACTTCATCTAACTGGACTTGCATCTTACTAACAACTTCTTTGTCCACGGCTTTCCTCTTTTTTTTGTCAAGTCCTTGCATCCCTTTTCTTAAGCCAATATCATGCCCCATCGCCCTAGTGCGACCAGGGTGCTCCGGTCCTATCGGCATAGTCAACAAATCCTCTCCGGGACCCGACAACAAATTTTTGACATCTATCTGTTAATGCAAACAACATAATAGTCAATAGAATTACTTAGACAAAAAATATTAATAAAAAAAATTAAGAACAATCTTACAAGCTTTTTTACTATCGGTTCCATGTTAGGTGGTATTATTTTTGACCCGGACTCATTTTTAGATCTTCTCCCCAACACATAATCTAATGAACACTCGCTTTTTATCTCATACAACTATGACGACAGCTGACCCGATGCCTTCTCTTTTCCATTTAGGTTTGTTGCCCCGATAACCATGTGGGCTTGGATTCGTATTACACATTGAACTTGTCCTTGCTTTCTCACTTATATATTGATGATAAAAACAACAACAACAATTATAAAACTGGAACATAATGACTAATATTAGCAAGAGACATTATATCCTACAAACCTGGAATTCCTTTGATGATATCCTTTCCTTAAATTTTTGCGATGCAGTCTTTTCCAAATATGAGTAGGTTTCAAGTGGATTTCTCTCATTCTCATTGACCAAGAAATTCTTTTTAAGCCTCTTTTTGTATGATCTCCACTTGTGGTTGCAAGTCATAAGCACATATGATTTGCGGTTTTCATCATGGATATTCCATGTTTTTTTAAACTATTAATAACATATATTAATTAAATGAAAACACATGTAATGTGTATTAGATTAGAAACCTTGATGGTCAATCATAAGTTCTCCTTTTCATTTGTTGGCACTTTCTTCCAAGTCAGATATTCGATAGAAATTAACTTTCTCGTAACAACCCCGCAATCATTAGTGAACTTATTATGATTATCGCCACAATGCTGGCCAAGACTGTTAAATTCAACTTCTTGTGGCTCTGTTTTATCCATTAGACGTGTGACTGTTATTTTTTTCCTCGGTTGTGGTTGTGGTTGTGGCTATGGTACCGGTTGTTTTTGTGGCTGATCATTCATCATCTTTGTTGTAGATGATTTGCAAATAGCTCAACGACATACCTGAATGTCACACCCCCAAACCAGAACGGCGAAATCGTTCGAGGGTGGATGACTTCATGTAGTATCGTAACAATTGAATACATAGTAAAAAAAGCAATACAACCATCACATATATAATTTAAAAGTTTACATTGTTGAAAGGTACTTGTTTCAAAAGAAATTACAACATGATGTTTAAAATGAAATTAAACTAACGCCGCAACGTCCCTTCTTCAAAAGCTGCAGTTTACTTGTATTACTGAATCCCTGAGAAATACAAGTGGTTTTGAAAGAGTAGGTCAGCATTTAAGCTGGTGAGTTCATAAGTATTTAGTGACAATGTTTATATGAAAAAGAATGAAAATGGTTTGTTCATGTTAAATGTTCCAAGAAAATCCCATATTTTATACATAGTAGATGGTAGTTTGATTTGTTCCAAAACCGTAATGCAATAGTGCTTTTCATGCCAAAAATAGTAGTTTTATGTGTAAATCATTAAGGCATTTGAAAAACCCCGTAAATCAATGTGTTTTTAATACTCCAGGTGAGTCTTATAACCATGCTATTTGACCAGGATGCCTATATCAACATTCTTCATGCGTTGGAAACTTATGATGTTTGTCACCCCAGGCCTGCCGGCCTAGCTGTAGCTAACAGCTTAGGTGTGGGATTGTCAATCCCGTATAGATCTATACACAAGTATCATGCTCCCCCTACAAGGGATTATGGTATATAATACATGACTTAAAATGCATACTCGAAAGTATGTGGAATGTCTCACAAAATTTAGTATAAAGAGATTTACGTATGAAAATGTCCATTTATTCTTGTATATGAAAATATCTTCTTTGATGTAGTGTACCTAGTATGTAAATGTTCATGATTTCCTCGTAAAATATACCTATTATAGTTTTTCAAAGTGTGTTTCGTTCATATAGTAAACCCTAGCGTAATGCTCACTCCTTATGTAAAGTATAACACGTAAAGTGACTTAATTGTTCACGTATACCTAATGTAAAATGGAGCATTTGATTTATATATATATATATATATATATATATATATATATATATATATATATATATATATATATATATATACACATTTTATTTCCATAAGACAAGGTGTCATTGAAAGTATATATTTCATACGAGAATACTCATGTAGTAGTTTATGAATCACATATGATTACTTAGATAAAAAGTTTATATAGTGAATCGTTAAGTTACACACGATAATAACCGTGTGTTTCACTTGCATTTCCCAACCCCCCCCCCCTTAATATTGTATAAAAAGCATTTATAAAACATTTAAAAACGTAGTTTATAAGGGTATGAACTCACTTGAAAGATCGAAGAAGGCGAGATAAAAACCAAGCAGAACTTTAACTTGAGAAAGCGGATTTTCTTGGGATTCTCGGGAATCTCGGGAGCACAAACGACCTTCTGAGCTTGAGTATGGAAATATGGGCTTCGAGATATCTCGTGCACGGTAAACGAGGCAAAAACGCAAGAAAGATGAGAGAAAATGAGTAATTTCCCCGGAACCCTCGCATCCCTTTTATAGGGCTTGGGAACCGCCTCGGTATGCTGGGCGTGGCGTGCATCATGTGTGACCGCATCCTCGACTGCCTCGGAGCTCGGATGGGACGGGGCATAGCCTCACATAGGGGGCGACGTGGACGATCCGAGGCCTAGTCCTCGCGTACGCTGGGCGTACGCTGTTACGCCAGGTGTAACTTGGATTGGGCCGGTGACTCCCCCTTCGGATAATACCAAAATTCTTTTTAAATTTATATTTTTATTATTTAGTAAACTTCAAAAATTCATATCTTCCTCATACGAACTCCGTTTTCGAAGTTCTTTATATCTATGCGTAGGTGAGACTACGCTCTACAACTTACGTTTAGACTCCGTCAGCAAATTTTGAAATTATTTTTATTATTTATTTTTAAAAGTTCGGGGTAAGAAAAGTTCGTTAGAAATCCATAACTCCTTTATCCGATGTCTGTTTTTGCCAGACTTTTTACCGTTGAAATACCATTTTTGAGACCTTCGATTCTCATTTTGGTCATTCCGGCCAAAAGTTGCTCGATCTCTGTTTCGAGTTTTTAGCTGTCTACCGCTATACCGAACTTGGAAAAATCTTAACTTTCTCTTACGAAGTCAGATTTGGACGTTCTTTTTATGTAAGCTCACGGTTTAGTGATATCTAACATAGTAGGTAAGTAAAATAGAGACTTTTGTACATTTTATTTTTAAAGTTAATTTCATTATTTTTAGAAGTGGTTACAATACTTGACTTTTTAAGTCATTACATAGAACCGAAATATCGGGTTGTCACATCATCCCCCCCGTTAGAGGGAAGTTTGTCCCGAAATTAATCGTAAGAAAAACACTTGTGGATTAGGGAAAAAGACATGGGTACTTGTATTTCATCTGATCTTCACGTTCCCAGGTGTATTCAGGTCCTTGCTCTGCATTCCATCGGACCTTCACGATGGGTATGCGACTTTGTTTTGTTCTTTTAATTTCCATATCCATAATTTCAATTGGTTCTTCTATAAAATGGAGACTCTCGTTGATTTCGATTTTGTCCATAGGGACGACGAGAGTCTCATCGGACAAACATTTCTTCAAGTTTGACACATGAAAGGTATGGTGTACGTTATTGAGTTCCCGTGGTAGGTGAAGTTTGTAGGCTACCGGGCCGATCCTTTTAAGGATCTCTAATGGTCCAATATACCTCGGGTTTAGTTTCCCACGTTTTCCGAAACGTATTAACCCCTTCTAGGGTGAGACCTTTAATAGCACTCGGTCCCCTACCTGAAATTCCAAGGGTTTCCATCTTTTGTCTGCATAACTCTTTTGTCTGTCTCTTGAAGCCTTTAGTTGATCCTGAATTTGTACAATCTTCTCGGTTGTCTCCCTTATGATTTTCGGGCCAATGAGAGTGATGTCGGGTACTTGTCCCTTGGCTAGTTGTGTGTTACCTATTTCACTCCAGCACAGTGGTGATCTACACTTCCATCCGTAGAGGGATTCAAATGGAACAACTTTAATGCTGGAGTGATAACTATTGTTGTATGAAAATTCAACTAGTGGTAAATGGGTATCCCACGCTTTACCAAAACCGATTACACAAGCTCTTAGCATATCTTCTAAGATTTGTATGGTCCTCTCACTTTGACCATCAGTTTGTGGATGGTAGGTAGTACTCATGCCGAGCCTCGTTCCTAGAGATTTTGTAACGATTGCCAAAATCACGAGGTGAACCTACTATCTCTATCGGAGATAATGGATATTGGTACACCATGTAATCGCACAATCTCTCGGATGTAGGTTCGAGCTAGCTTCTACATCTTGTCGGTTTCTCTTATTGGTAGGAAGTGTGCAGATTTTGTTAACCTATCAACGGTTACCCAGATGGTGTCTAGTGCACCCGCTGTCCTGGGTAATTTGGTTATGAAGTCCATCGTTATCCGTTCCCACTTCCACTCGGGTATTTCGGGTTGTTGCAGCAATCCCAATGGCTTTTGGTACTCTACCTTGACCTTAGCGCAGGCCAGACACTTGCTTACATAGTGTCACACCCCCAAACCAAGGATGGCGGAAACGTCCGGGGGTGGAGGATCATGTACAGTATCACAACAACGTGTATAATAGTGCTCAAAGTAAATACAACCATCATAAATATAATTGAAAAAGTTACACCAAAGTATATGTTTTCATGTTTCAAAATCAATTACATTATGATGACAAAAATAAATTGTTGACGGTTTAACGTCCCATCCTCAAAGCGCTGAAGTTTTCCTGTTTCACTGATTTCTTCAGAATACAAGTAGTTTTGAAAAAATGTCAACAATTAAGTTGGTGATTTCATAAGAGTTTTGTTTGAAGTAGAAAACGGTTCCTTGTAAAATCGATAGAGTTTGATTTCTAGAAAATCCAATATTTTCTTAGTTACGTGAACAAAATATTCCTATATGATGTATTAATGATCCTAGAATGACCCGTAGATTTCTCCTATAATCGTCCAACGTATATAAGTTATATAAGATTTAAGTTAGATAAAATGTTGAATATAGTGGGTTTGCTCTAGGTCCACAACCCAACGAGGAACAGGAGATGAGGCGGGCCCTACCAATTCTAAGCCAATCAAGACTAAATTCTTATATGACTCAAGCATATACGCTCAACGATTATAGTTGAATTCTAACAACTCTAGATGAGATATAATTTTAATATCATAATAATTATTTTATGTGAACCTGATACCTTGTATCTGTACCCCTTTTCTTTTTATAAATACCCGGTACTTTGTATTTGTACCCCTTTTTGTATAAAAACCCGGCACTTTGTATTTGTACCCCTTTTTGTATAAAAACTCGACACTTTGTATTTGTACCTCTTTTTGTATATAAACCTGAGACTTTGTATTTGTACCCCTTTTTGTATAAAAACTCGACACTTTGTATTTGTACCCCGTTTGTATATAAACCCGACACTTTGTATTTGTACCCCTTTTTGTATAAAAACCCGACACTTTGTATTTGTACCCCTTTCTGTATATAAACCCGGTACTTTGTATATGTACCTCTTTTTG